ACAATAGGAAATGACTGCGGATTTGTGAATTGCGCCTCTTATTAACTGTCAGTCTGGTCTTCAGTGGCGTTCTGCTGCTCTTTTTTTGTCTGAACGAAAACGTTTCGCCACCCATTTCTGATGCAATGCCTTCTTTAACTTGTCTTGCATACATCCAGAATGCGTAGTTTGCGAGTTCATCTTTGTGCAGCAACGTACAAATTGTGAAATCCAGTTCGTTTTGTTGCAGCATCGTTCTGGCTGCCCAAAATTCTCAGCTCCTCTTTCTCCTTTCCGTTGTTAATCGATGGCCGTACAAAGTTATGCTTCACACTTTACATTTCCCGCCTACTCGTTAATGGTGCGTGTTTCACTTTTGCGAATGATGTACAGATGCACGATTAGTGCCACCTGCTAATCGACTTAGCAGTGGCCCATGTCGTACAATAGTTATCGGCCTTAACACTATCTTTGGGTTCCCACACGCCGGAAGCAGCTGACTTCTGATGTGCCTTATTAATTTTTTTAGCTCATTAAAAGCAGCAATACTATTTACAGGGGAATTAACCGAAGCGCCATACTTACGCTTTACAAAAACGCCTAAAGACGTTGAAGTGGTTGCTGGTGAAAAATTTGGGCTGAAGTGCGAAGCGATTGGCGTTCCTCCACCAATCATTGAATGGTCTTTTTTTTTTTTGAATTTACTTGGAGGAACTCATCAAAAAAGGAAAAGAGGGAGGGAGCGCGCAGAAACGAGTGATGACCCCTTAAGACCGCTGCATGTTATTGCGACTGTTCTGAGTAACTACTTGCTTGCACAATGTGGTTTGTTCAGAACAGTTAGGCCACAGTGAAAACTTGGCAGGTTTTTCAAAAAAAATGTAGGGAGGAAGTACGAGAAGTCGTCATTCCAGCTAGAGGCATAGTCACGTCACCAGAAGAAGTAGTACCTCCAAAGCATTCCGGCGAGAAGAAGGATTTTCTGCTGAAATTCGTCGGTTGCGAAACGTATTAAAGAAATGAAATTCAAAATACGATCATCTTTTCAGTCTTGGAAAAGCAAACT